TCTTCCTGTTCTGGAATTCTGATTACATGTGGGTTATTCCTGTTGTTGGTATCCCACACAAACCTTAGGCTTCCTTCGTTTTGTTTTGATCTTTTTTCTGACCCCTTTCCAAAGAAGTGTTCAGGTATTTGCCTTCAATCTCCTTCATTCTGTTTTCCATTGATTCAGTTCTGCTCCTTTGCCTATTCAATGTCTTAGCTATTTCTGAAAATTTAGTATTAATCTTCTAGATTTCTGTGTGTAGATTTTGTATCATTTCTAATTTTTCATTTGTTTTGTCATTTTGTTCTTATATTGTCTTTTGAAATTGTTCTAGGGTTTTCTCTGGGTTTTCCTTGATCTGCCTCTCAATTCATTGAAGATACCCAAATATAAGTCTTTTGAATTCCTTATCAGGGAGTTCCAGTGCTGTGTCTTCCTCAGGGATGTGTTTTGAGTCTGTATCCTGGTGCCTTGTTTCTCCTGCTTTATCTTGCTTCTTTGTGTGGACCGTGATGCTCTGTTGTCTCCAAGGCATTGTGACATTTTTGGGTTTCTATTTAATTGGTGATTGTATATTGGAGTGACTTACCCACGATTTTCTTTTTCTTTCTTTGTATGTTATCTATGCAAACAGGGTACTGTGCTCCTCTATTCACTAGTTGGCAGCACTTAGACACTCACCACCTATCTGCTTTCTTTTTGTCAGCCTCTCGTATGTCCCTGCTGACCTTGGCAAACAGAGCCTGTTCTTAGGTCCCTGGAATCCCAATGAGAATGCTATCACTTTAAAATCCAAGATGGTTGTCACTTGTAAAGATTCAAAATGGCTGTGCCCTTGGTCACTTTAAATATTGAAAATGGCTACCACTTGTAAACATTCAAAATGTCTGCGCACTCGGTCACTTTAAATATCCAAAATGGCCACCGCTGGTAAACATTCAAAATGGCTGTACCCTCTGTCGCTTGTAAATAATCAAAATGGCTGCACCCTCTGGACAGCAGAAAGTCCATAGCTCAGGTCTCCCTCCTTGCTGTTTCCTTTCCGAGTCATAGGCCACCAGGGCAGTTGTCCCTGCAGCCCATGGTGACCAGGGCTGATCTTTAGGTCAATTCTTTTTTTTTTTTTTTTT